TTGCCAGCAACACAAAGAAGCCTGCACAAAAAGATAGCATAAGTACCGGAGGTGCTAATTCTCTGCTATACCAGGAAAGCTTGTATATGACTGCATGTGAGGAGCTCACAGGAGATAAAGAAGAGGATGCCAGCTGCAAATGTCTTGTCAAACCCGTCGAAGGAGGAGTAGTGGATGAAGGCCATGACGCCAATCACAATGCCAATGAAACAAGCCAGCAGGGAAAGGATCATGAAGGCCCGGGTGGCATCCCAGTATGCTGTAAGCCAGAGCGAGACAGGCCAGGCTTAATAAATGCAGACTTTAGAAGTATGTTTATTCTTTGTTACACATTCAGTTTGTGAAGTTATATGTTGCCTGTGTTTGTGCTTGTCCTAATGTAGGAGACAGATCTAGCTTGCCATCTAGAGCATGTCAAAAAATGTGATGAAGTAAGAGAGAAAATGGAAAGCTGTTTTATGTTGTGTTGCTGGTGCAAATAAAAGCATATGAAGAAATCTCACACACAGGCTCCCCACCAAAAATAGATTTCCTAATAACATCTGTGCCACTAGTGTGACTCACAACCTACTTGAGGTGGAAGCACAATTTCGCAGTCCCCCTGTATGGAGGACTGAAAGTGCCAAAGCCAGGAATAAATGAATAAATAATTCAATGCAAGCCTTTCGCATCTTTATTATATTATTTTCAATTTTGAAATAGTTCCCTTATTTTTAATGCTCTTTTTACATCACTCCCCGCATTCCTACTTTATTACCAAACATCAAAATATGTTGTGGGTTCAGGGAGTTTTTTTATTTGTCGATCAACACTAGGTTCAGAAATGTTTGCCAACAAATAAAGCAGTTTGTCTGGACTGTGCACGCTTTTATGAGTGCACATAAAGAAGTGTAGATGTGATGTTTTCTCAGGGTGGGTTTCTAAGTCAAATAATTTTATATTTATCCAAACAGAGGTAAAAAGGAAAGGGGAAATGTTTTTAAAATGAATGTATCTATATTCATTAATAAATGTTATTAACCACTTAATTTTAGAGATAAATAATTACTGGTGCTATTTAAAGCATAAATGTTTTGGCATTTTACAATTAGTTAATGGCTATATGTATTATTTTTTCATCTACTGTGATATTTTTTAGTCAGTGAGTCATTTATTCATTTTATTGATTAATTAATTTTTATTTTTACATTTTGTTTTGTTTGTTTTTTCAGATTGGGTTTTTAAGTTTCAGTCATCCCTACCCATGAACCTAAAGGGAGTAACCATAGTGAAGATTGGAACTAACAAAATATATTGATTAAATAACAAAGAAATTTTTATTTTTTTCATCGTTTTTTGTAACACCAAAGTATATATTATTTTATTTTATTTTGGAAGTTTTGGTTCTCCATACTCCATAAAGAAGAGAGGGGAAGTATTCCAGTGTTGATCAAGGTTCTGGACTAATTGTGAGCAAACTAAGACGTATTAATGAGGGTATGCCTGTCTGTAGACATGCAGTGTAAGACAACCAGCAGGTCTTACCAATACTGTCTGTATGTGTCATGCATTTCCCAGGCACACAGTACCGCCACAGGCCCTGGTGCATGTAATTGCTGGAGTGCCGATACTGCATCCAGTAGTCAGTTGCCGTGGAGACAATGAGGAGTATGTTTCCAACTCCGGCACAGAACAACCCACCTCCCATGAAGCTGTACATCCTGCCAAAAAACACTGACTGACACGTAGACAAAAAACAGGTCAAGGCCTCACCACCACATCTGAGCCCCGGCTATACCAATTAGAGCAAGTACTTCCTGTTACAGAGAGGAGTAACAGTGGGCATGAATAAAACAATATCTAAATACATTCAGCGGCATGCCACAAATGCGATGCTGGAGCTATCGACAGATCTGATTGCATATATATGAAAAAGAAAAAAAGAACCGTCTTATAAGACATGAACAAGCAGCAAGCTCAATCTGACAAATCATTAACCTCTAACTCTGCTGCATCAGGAAGTGTCTATATCTTTAAGAGCACATGCAGGGCTGATAAACATTTTTCAAAGCCAGATATATTTATGTTAAATTATACCCAAGTCTGCCAAACATGGTACAGTGAACAGTGTGTAAATGATGCACACGAGCTTGGGAATTTTATTCCATCTAGATTCAGTGGTGCATCCGTAACACATGGCATATTGTTTAAATATTTTATATAAAGTGGGCTTTTCCACTCTGTTTTAAATTTAATTGAACTGAAATTTAAGAGAAGCAAGGATTCACCCAATGAACTCAATTCAAACAACACTAAAAAGGACTTTCTTATTCCATACAAAATACAGTTAATTGCACTGTGTTTCCATATTGATCACATACCTCTTGCTCCCCTTAGAAAAAGTCAGAGATTCCAATAATTCGGGTTGTCAAAGCACGGAGGAGCCCAATATTGCCCAGGATGGCAGGAAAGTTTTGTTTGTGCATAGGAAACCAAGCGAACAAACGGGCTGACGGAACAATGGAGCATGCTGAGCCACAACCAATCACAGAGGATGAGTTTTGTGTTTTAGGGAATCTGCTGAAAATACAAAACCGTTAAAGCGCTGCGCACATCTCGGCAATACTGATGACACAGGGCTTTTAATTCAAAACGCTCCACAACCATACACAGCAAACCCGTGGCCTGCGCTGCTCAACCATAGTACTGCTGAAAGAGAGATTATTTAACATAGTGCAAAATGTAGAAACAGAATCCTCTGCAGTGTTGAATTATGTAATGTGACTTTGGTAAATCATTTTGCCCATTATTCACATGTTAAAGTTTTGTTTTTAATAAATATTGGGCTCTTTCTCTCTTCGATATAGACTTTCATAAAATTCAAATTGTACAACTCACAAAAACTTTTATAAGGCTCATAACATAGATGATAAATCAACCATCTCATCATCATTTTAGTTCCACTAAAATGTTGAAAGTACAAATTATGATCATCTAAATAAATTTATATACACACATATATATATATATATATATATATATATATATATATATATTTAGCACTAGCGAGCCCAGAGGAATTCATTTAATTATAGATGAAATAAACAAAATAAATTGCTGGACCATATGCATGCAGTTGCCGTGAAAGCGTGATGAGTGTGGCTAATAAAACTGTATAATGTGGGTGAAGAAGCTGCAGCACAGGTGGTTTATCTTTGCTGTAGCACCTGGCAGAAAGAGCGGGCTGTAAAAGAGAGGGTTGCGTGTCAGAAATTAATATTTCATTCGGTTGCTTGATAGTGTAGCATATTCTATACGAAAAGGTGTTACTGTTGAAAGAGTCAGGACAGATGAGTTTCTAATCAGGAGCACAATCAGAGGGTCAATTATGAAGAGTTCGTTTTCCAAGAGTTTGGAATAAATAAGTAAAGCAAAGCAAAGTCATCCCAAGTCTGGCATATTTCTTGTCTTAGCTCTTCCTTTCCTGTATCGTTGATGGTGTGTTTTGACGCCTCAGTATCGAATGAAGGCCAAAAAGCAAAATAGGTCTCAGGCTTTTTCCAGTGGGTTCTCCAGTTAGGCGTAGCCACCCTTAATAACTTGTGATGCACACCGAGTCACTTTGTTCTGGAGGCAGGTCTGAAATATGACAGAAACCACTCAGTTCAGAAAAGACAAACAAGAGTTACACCTAGCAGGTGTCCAATGTGGAAAGAGTGAAGGCAGACGTTAACGTAGCACACAACTAATTATTTATTGGTACGGTTACTTATTCACAACACAATAAAAAAAAAAACCTTTGAACTTTTTTTATAAGGACAGGAGGGAAACTGTCACACTGTGATATGTACATGTAGATTTAGGCCCATGAGGAGATGCCTAAATTCTTAAAAACTCAGCACAATCTCTCTAAAAATAAACAAGATAAAATACATAAGATAATAAAAAAAGATCTAAACAATTTAACTTCCTTAAACTGAATCATATTTTATATCAATCTCAGCTCTGTCCCATCTGGTGTATCCAAATCGTGTTTAAGCCCACATAACAGAGCTATAAAAACATGACAATAGTAGTTAATTAACAGTAGTTAATAGTTTGAGTCATGCTGAACAATGATGGAATTTATTTAAGCATAATGTGTAAGAAAATAAGTGGGTGGAGTTTATGTAAAGGTGTTTATTTAATTTCTTTAGTCAGAGTCACTGGCTATTTCCATAAAGGTCATTTAGAGCACACACAGGTGTACACAATGAAAATGGATTCAGCAGCCTGGTTCAGCAGCCTGGTTCAGCATTGTTCATTAGTGAGCTTGGCCTGCACAGGACCACTGGTAGCACAAGAACAGGATAAAATCCATTTATGAAATATTTTGTTTGAGGACTGTTTGCATTTCAATCATTTTATTATGGTTTACGCAAACCCCTTTTTTAACATATTTATGTTTATTCAGAGCAAATTTAGGTTTTAATGCAATCTATAAAACTCAAAGGTTGAACCCATGTTAAATGTGTTGGTACTAACATGTCTGCTGCTGTGACATCTTCAATCAAGTAGCACAGCAGCAGTTATCTTCATATCCCCCTTGACAATGAGCTTCAAAGGACAACAAGCTAATATGTCTGTACTTTTAGTTGCTATAAATACAAGTGGACCTGCTCTATATTTAATCTTAATTTGACAAAAAGCATTCACACATTTAAGTTCTCGAGCATTTACTGGGAACCATGTAAAGGAAAAGGTAAATAGTAATAGTAACTGAGTAATAACTGAGTCAAAGGCCATCACATGCTTGACTCAGTTATTACCACTAGGTGGTGCATTTTATTTAATCTTGCAACAAACACTGACTCATTAGCTGCATTTTGACTTACAGAAATATACCAATGTGCTGTACTCTTAATTTTCTCTTAAATGCACACTAACTTACCTACCTATATTAGGTTTACATTGCAGTTTGGGTATCCAATGCTCCATACAGTAAGTAAGGTTAATGTATTAATGTCATAGTCCCGGGTCTGTGACCCAGTGTTTTGATTTTAGTGGGTTTTCTAGTTTTGTTTGCTTATGAATCCTACGGTTGTGTAATGTGTATATTGTTTCTTGTAGTTCTCCCCTTGGTATATTTAGTCTTCTTCTGTTATACATTGTGTTAGAATAATTCCTCCCTCATTGTTCCCCATCCTCTTGTGTCTTGTTTCCTGTGTTAGTCATTGATGCCTCCCTGTGAAGTCAGTCTTGTCTCGTTGCTAAGCTGTCTGTTTCGCTGTCATCACTCAGTGTCTCTTCCCAGTCTCCTCTTGTCCTCTGCCAGATCGTTAGTTCTCCCCCAATGTGTCTCATCCATGTTCCACGTTCTCAGCTTCAGGTTTCATGTTTCACATCCTTAGTGTTTAGTTTCTTCCCAGTTTAGTGTTAGTGAAAGTCTTTGCCTTTTGTTTTGTGTTTTGTTTGATTTTGTGCAGCCTTAAAATGTGGTTTGCTTTGGCTAAATTTAGTCCTACTGTCCGCTTTTGGGTCCTTACTTCAAATACATGATGTGCGCCTGCAGATCGTGACAATTAATCCCACATTGATTGGATTTTTACTATTGCCCTTCACATATTAAAAATCCCCTATACAAAAAATAGTGTTCGCTATTGTTAACTAAAGCACTCTGTTGTGTACACATTGATGCATGAACAGGTCTAAACACTTAAACTGTTTTTACCTTACTCTGGGAAAGCTTCTTCAAATTCATCTTCAGTCCCTATTCAAGACGGGTTACTTTTGCTCGTACATCACAGCCACTTTGTGCTCCAATTTCCAGTTGTTCATATTGTAGTTATCATGCATGTGCACTTTTTTATATAGACGAGAAGAGAGAACTACATTTCCAACAAGGGAAAGTATCGTTCTACAGCTAAAAATGACAAATCTACTGTCGACATAATGTTGTACATTTTTAGATACATGTGAAGTGGTCTCTTTTACAAACTGAGCCTGTGTGCGTGTGGGAGGGGTCAGCAAACCACACAGACCCTAATCCACGCAACAGGGCTAAAAGCATAAATTTGTCGAACCCTTCTAAATTGCATAACCTATTCAAATTGCATCGGATTACCATTATCATCCTAGCCTGGTGGGACCCAGCATGTATTTGCCGAAGGCAATGGAGTCCAACTCGCTTTCCACGCCATCCACTGTCTCCCTGCCAAAACACTGTAGTGCTTCCACTAATAAGATCTGCACAAAAGAGGCACATGCAGCAGCTGACGGTGCAGACACGAGGAAAAGCCTTTTATATCTCGCTGCTGTCACGTTTCAGGAGACATACAGAAAGATGAAGGCTTCCTCCGCTCATTAAACCGCATTCAAAAACAGGCATTTTCAGAATACTGCAATCCGTAGAAGGCATCAAATCACACACAGTGTAGTATTAGACATTTTACAGGGAGCATGATATAACAATATCCAAGTTCATTCAAACCTCAGGGACATTTCGCCATTTTCCTTTTTCCTCACTCTGCTCTTTAAAACCTTCTCCTGATCACATTGCTTGCATTACAAAATGGTTGTGTTTAAATTATTCAGGGTGTCTTTAATCGTTATCAATCATTATTTAAACATACAAAGTCCAAGATGATTTCTTTCAGTTTGGTTCGAATTTATTTTTATAGTTCACAAGGTTAGCCCAGCAATGTATAGACTTCTAAGGAACCTTGAGAGGACTGTTGTTATGTATTAGCTGTGTATAAACAAGGCTAAATTGAGAACAATTGAATTCAGTCAGCAAGCACTTGGCAACAGTGGGGAGAAAGAACTGTCCTTTAACAGGAACTGACGGAATGAAGGGATAAGGCAAAGGGGATAAAAGGTAAGAGAAGCATAAAGAGACAACATATAGCAAACAGGACAATAATGCACACCACACAACATGTTAATGACATGCAGCAGCCTCATAGGGAAAACAAAGGGAGTTAAGAAATTCTCAGTGCACTGGAGTTCCTCCAGTGGCCTGAGCCTACAGCCATAATTACTGGCCTAGTCACACTAGAGAAAAAGTAGGGCAGTAACCTCCAAGGAACTAGGAAAAGTCGGCAGGTGCTGTTGGTTACTGCATTGACTCTTTCAGCATTTTGCAAATACTTGCAGTGGCCAACTGTTTACCCAGAGGCTGAGGGTGTTGCATGCTCATGGGAGATCATTTTTGATTGGAGGTTGCACAGGTCGCCTGGTGGGAAGCAACCTCTGTGTAAACAATTACAGTCTAACTTGGACCGACTGCAGTTGCTCTCAGGCAGATTGGAGAAGTTTGCGACTAATTGCCATCTTATTTATAAATGCAGACGGATTGCCAACACATTCACTGAGTCAGACTATACCGATGAACACAACCTATCTGCAACGTGTCTATTGGCAATTGGGGACTTGACTCAGCTGGTCCCTAATTGGTAATATTCATACACTACATAAAAATAAGTGGTCTGTGTTACTTTGCAGTTACATTGCTTTGCAGAATTCACATTAATGCAAATTTCTGTGCACGTAGACAGCAACAGATGTCAATTGCCATAATACCACAAACAGATTTCATGTAACTGTTAAATGGATCCCATGCAATCCTGTTGCTGTTCTGTCATCATCTTGATGCTCCACAGTTATTTAAAGGCATCAACTAAGAGTAGTCGCACAAACCTGATCCCCATTTTTCAATCAACCATTTCAAAGGCAGTGAGATCAAGTTCATTTCACACCGCTGCAATAATTTTGGTTATTGCGCTCCCAAACCTCTTTTTTTCCTACTGCAGCTGTACCAAGAATGGTTGAGAGTCCCACAATCCAGCTCCATCTATAAGTTTGATCAAGTAATCTTGAAGATAAACATTCACAAACATTCCCATATTAGCAGCTTTAAACTAAATGCAAGTGTATTGTTATTTACTGATTAGTGCATATATTACTGTTTACCACCTCAGTTTACTGTGTTAGTACTGCTGAGATGTACTAATTTAAGTAAAACACAACATACAGGTGAGGGTGAGGAGAAGCTTTGCAGGTGTTAGTAATTTATTTTATTTGCACAAAGCCAATTCACAGCAGCAGTCTTCTCGGGATACTATTGTATCACACAGCAAAGCTCCTGCGTCCTGGAGAGAAAGAACAAAAGAAAGCACACATTTCATTCCACTTAAACATTTAGAAAATGTGTGCTGTTTAATTAATAATTTACATGCTTGATTTAGCATAGCTTTTTAACTTCATGGTAAATTTCTTGTCTCATATGAACCCCTCAGACTCGCTTGGATTTAATAAGGTTTTTATTTTGATCTTTCGCTACCAAATACTCATTATGAGTTTGGCCGTTAAACACAGTTTGGTGACTCTTTAATGATGACTGTGGATATCGTTATCGAAAAGCAAAAATACGGCATTAAATCAACGCTCACTCATGTGTGCACATAAAGAGGGCCGAGTGTGCACAGATCACCATCATTCAGTATAACTCAGAGATGGATGGAAACGTTTTTCTAACAAATGCTTTATTGGTCGGTTTAAAAATGAACACACCGGTGATCTACAGGAGTACCACGGTACACAGTCACACAAAGATTACAGAAAAAACAGTAGCACACACAAACACGACACACATGCACGCGCACGCACACCGACATGATGGGTTATTAGCACATTATCTGCCTCGTGACGTCTCCCATCAGTATGGTTTGATGGTTCAGGAGTAAACAGAAGATACATTCAATAATCAGCTGTACAACAATGTAATACTTGGATTCAACCCTACCCACCCTCACAATTTGTTAAAAATACAATATTTTCCCGCAGATCTGCAGATTTTTGTAATATATTTAACCATATCTTTTAAAAAAATTGGAAAGATGTCTATATACACAGAGGAGGAGTAACGCAAATCACAAAAAATAAAGATTAAACCAATAAAATAAGATTTAAAAAAAAAAAGAATAGAAATAGTTTGTGAAAAGGCAGATGGCAAGCCTCGACACGTTCCCTTTTGTCTTCAGTTTTTCAGCAGATACCATGGCAACAGATTGATGGTTCACCAAGACGGGAAATCAGGGAGGAAAAATGGACGGTGTCACATGGCGTAATCGGCGACTGTCTACATGAGATTCTGGAAAGAAAAGACACAACAAAGATTAATGGGACAACAGTGTATGACTGCACAGATCAGCATCATTTAAATACAGTTTACAACAAGCACGAGCCTGAATGATTGAATTATCTTTTTGAAAGCTGAGGCTATATATGATATTTTATCTGCAGTTGTTTAGTGGGTAGTGCATGAAAACTGCTCATTCTTTAAAAAACTGTTTAAAAAAGACAAATTGCTAAAATGAATATACTTTGAGGAATCCCAAAAACAATAACTCAGATGACATTGTGTTTTTTTTAGATGTATTTCTTAAATGTTCCCAACTATATTACATTTTATTCCCAAAGACTCTGAAAAAAAATATATACACCAGATATATTGAATCATATCTCAATAACAGGCACCAAATCATGCTCCGAAAATGAAATTTGAAAAGTGATCGTGGACATACCAGGCAGGGGGATGGCTAGAAAGTAAGAGGATTATATTTGGGCGCTTCAACTTCACCACACTCCTTACAATTAAGGCCTCACTCACACAGGACTAGAGACCAGTTGGCAAACCTCTTGGTCGTTTGGGAAAAATGTGTGTCCCCTGATTCATTTCTGTTGGCCAGTGATTGCTGGCAGTCACAAAGTGAAATTAGCCGCAACCAAAAACCTTCTTGTAATTTCTTTAGTAGCTAGCAGACAGTCACACGTCTGCACACTGAGTGGCAGTTAAATCTGGAAAGAAACTTGTGTTTGACCCAATGAGCAAGCAGTTTCACAGCCAGACTACTCCTCTTTGTCACATCGGTAAAAACGATAATCTCAAGCATGACATCACTGGAGCCACATCCATCTTTTATTCTGTCTATGCAACCACGATGTTTTTAAAAAAAAGTGCAACTGTAACTTTGAAGGCAAACATTCTGCATTTTTAGTTTGTGTCATGCTGTTCACAGTTAGTTAGCTATGCAAACTACGGGAGCAATCACAGAGAGGTTTTTTCCCTAGTGACCTGTGGCTGTCAGAGCTCAGTCACGCAGTCTCTAGGGCTGTGACTGAGCAAACAACAAACAGGCTAAACTTTTAAGCCTAAAGATAGCGACTTTAATTAGAAAAAGACAGATTTCAGGGAATGAGTGTGTTGCATACTCATTGGTAAAGCATAGAATTATTTCAACTGTATCTATTCACCTGTCTGTAGGTCTTTTTTAGGTTAAGTTTAAAAATCACCACATTTATAGATATATACTTCTACTTTGGATTCAGAGATTTTACTGAGAAACTGCAGTACTTTTTTGAGTTTTAGATAACTATTTGTGTCTCTCCTTCAAAACCTGCAGTAAACTTTTGCCATTCACTGTCTCAGCCTGCCCTCAGGTTGCTGTTGAACGGACTGTGCACCACATTATAAAGGCTATGTCTGTTCAGCGGTTTCAGCCCCAGTGTACCTCATTTCTCCTAAGACCAGCACTAGATGGTTGCTGAAACACTCCTCCACCAAGGGACCCGTAGTTTGACGTCTGGACGTTGGGCACGATGCTTGACTGTCCGTACGGGATTACATTCTCATCTGCAGATGACAAACAGATTACTCAAAGTCACAGCTGTATTTATATAGGTTAAACCCAGAGTGATGGAGCACAGTGCAAATAGACCCCCTGCTACTAAAAGCAAGGCTGCTTGACTATGGGATGATAAGTGTGCAAACATTCGGTGGCAGTTGTTTCTTTCTCAGCCCAAAGGGATTTGCATGGAGCATCACAATAACATTAATACATATCAGTTGAGGTCCAGCTGTTGAAGCTAGGCGGCATGCGATGCAAAGACAGATGTTGCTCTTTTATCTTTTTGCTGAATGATGCTCCAGGATGCTGCATTATGTGCTTACCCTGCGATAACCACTTTGTAGATCCTCTCCTTTCGGGTGAGAAATGTTCTCCCCTCTTCTGTAGAGTGGGTGAGTCACTCCCCTCTTTGTCTGCTCGACTGCGGCTCAACACATCAGCCAAGAGCTGCAGGGAGTCATCTGTGCGGAGAGGAGCCGGTGGAGGGGGGAGCTCTGCGCATGATTGATAATTGATGATTTAAAAAATAAATAAACAGAGTATTTTGACTTTAAAGAAATAGTTTGACATTTTGTGGAAAAGACGCTTAATTGCTTTCTTGCCAAGAGTTAGATGAGAGGATACCACTGTCTGTTTATTATATATGAAGCTAAACATAGTAGTGCACACAGTAATCTTTGCACAAAGACTGGAAACAGTAGGGAATGGTTAACTTAGTGCTGCTCCAAAGCAGCAGCAGCAGTGCCTCTAAGGCTAACTGATTATATCTTGTTTGTTAAATTAGTTAACTACAAATGGCAATTTTACATGGTGCTATTAGCCAAATTCACAGAAGAGAACGCATTATTTAAAACTCTCAGGGAGTAAATTAACGATCATATTTGCCAAAAAGTTACTACTTTATAAATAAGCTTTACTAAACATTTACAAATATCAGAAAGAACAGAAATAATCCAAAGTGAATTCTTGCACTTGATTATGAAGTCTGCTGCCATGCTAGCCACTCTGGGGTGCTTTACTGGGATAAGTGCTAACACCAGAATGCTGTTATGCTCACAATAATAATGATGACCTTCCGAGGGGTCGCCAAGTATAATGTTCGAGGTATTGAAAGTCTTAAAGCAGTATATTAGCATAATGATATTTGTTAATTAACTGTAAGGTGTGGCTGTTAGATAACTTATAAAACTGAATAGACTATGGTGCCTTATATTCACCAAAGCTATTAGAATCCAGTCTCTGGGGAAAATGAAGGTCAGGAAAAAATCAAACAAAGTCAATTTGGCAGTCCAGCCAGCAGCTGTTGAGATATTTAAGTCAGTTAACTACAAAACATCACAAATTGATTTGTGAACTTACATTTGAAAGGCTGAAGTTCAGTAGGCAAAGGCATCACGTTGCATTAAAGACTATAAACTCTTTGGAAAGATGTATACAGAGGCCATAAATTAAGTGTACCCTGTTCTTTGGACTTCTATATAGCTCGTCAACCTTCAGCAGCAAAAGAGCCAAAAGAGCCATTTTAGCCCCTCCTACCAAACAACGGGAGAAAAAAAGGTTGCATAGGCTGGGGGATCAGACGGGTGGATAATGGATGTAATTGGGAGAAGATAAATTAGTTCAAATTAATTTTTTTTTTACATAATTATTTTTCAAAGCTTGTGTGAACAGCAGCTGAAGGGCTAAAGAGCCGCATGAGGCTCGTAAACCACAGGTTACCAACTTCTGTTCTCTAAAATCAGACTTCTTTTTGAACCTGTGAGACTCGCCCCCTGCTGGCCACTAGAAAGAATTCACATTTGAGCCACTTCCTCACTGGCTTCTCATTTCAGATCTGGAGGCTACAATCATTTTTATACACAGTCTTAATTGGTGACCGAACACACTAACAGAGCACTCCAGAGAGCCAAGCTGCCAGAGTGGTTAATATGCCTCATTCGTTTTTCCAGCCTAAAACAGAAATTAGAAGCATGCGGTGGAGCACATCATACCTGCTTCACTCTGCAGATCTCTCTTGTTTGGTCCATCCTTGGGCGTTTTCTTCTTACTCTTGGATCTGTGCGCCGGGGCTGTGGGGCTCGACTCTGCAGCTGTAACAGGAAATTGTCCTGACGGGAAAGAACACTGATGTCATCCTCAGGACACGAACAGGGAAAACTAAGAAACGCTGAGCGTCACTCTGAATAAATGCAACATGATTTTCGTGTATAAATTCTCTTCGTTTAGTTACATCATAAACTAAATTATACATGACACTATGTGGTTGTGTGTGGATGCTGTGAAGCATTAAGCTGAATTCAAACTGACCTTTACCAAGGCTTTCCCCCTTGAAATCATCTACCCACTGGCTAGTGCGGTATACCTCACTGCCATCCTGGGCCTTCATGTTGGTAAACAGATCGGGGTTAGACTGGGAGACCAAGTGGTGACGTGCCAAGAGGTCAAAATGCTGCAGCCGTGGACTGTCATTAGGCTTGGATGCATCTTGCTGGTGGGGAGATGTCAAAGTTGCAGTGTAGGACAGCTCATCTGGTTTAGAGGGCAGGCTGGGGAGTTCCTCCCTGGAAGTGTCCATCAGGTAGGTTCTGGCTGGCAGAGGAGGACACCAGTCATCGTCCTCCTCCTCAGAGCTAAGGGACAAGAGAAGGCAGTGAGTGTGCATCTCTGAGGAAATTACCACATATAAAAACTAGCTTATAAACAACAGTCCAGATGTGAGTGAATGGCTGAACTAACCACCAATCCGTGTCATCAGTTTAAACTAATCATGTTTTACTGAATATTTTAAGTATCATACGGTTTTGTGCAAAAGTCTTGAGCCACCCTTTATCTCTTTATAATTTGCCAGGATGGTATTAGATGGTTGATAAAAGGCTGATGATAATTTTCTGTGTTCATAATTCCATCAATTTTGACAATATCTCCAACACCACTGGCTGGAATGCTCCAACCCATGACAGAGTGTCCACCATGTTTTAAAGATGGCTGTAGACACTCACTGTTGTGCCTCTCTTCTTTGGGTTCATTAGTCCATTCAAGTTCTCGTTTGAGTTGTGGCAAGCACCAAGCAACCAAAAAACGTTGCTTTGAAAGTGGTCAGGTACAAGGAGTAGACTGAAACATGCCACGGTAAAAAACCAAAAACCTTTGAAAACCCTCCAGAAAGCCAGCACTTTAGAAAGGAAGGGTGACTCAAGACTTTTACAAAGTACCGCACAGTATTAAACAATCAGAGATGTAAAGCTACCTGCTGTGGCGACAGAAAAACAAAAGCAATGTAATGTTTTTTTACTCCCATGAACCTGCATTTTATTCACACAGACAACTAAGTTCAAACATACCGAATGTTTGAACTTATAAGTAAAATATCAGCTCATTTAGAACTTAATGCCAGCCTTATTTTTGTTGAAGTGGGATCGTTAGAAACTGAACAAATTATGGAAAACAACATTTTTTTTTAAATTCACTGTTTACATTTTTCCTCATAGCAGAGGCTTCACAGACCAGCATGTTGAGAAAAGAAGCTGAAATGAGCCAAGATTTTAGACTTTAAACATATAATTAGTGTTTTGCGCTTACAGCTACTACAGATGTGTGCGTTTACTTGTTGATTTTTCCGTCTATGAGGATTTTGTGATAATCTGCAAACTAAAACACACAAATGTCAAGCTGCTAGATCACACAAGCTTGTAACATGTCAAAACAAACATCTGGTGTTGAGATACTTCCAATAACTGTGCACAGAAATACCACTAACACCACTATATATATAAAAAATATTCAAATCAATTCAGTTTTATTTATATAGCACCAAATCACAACAACAGTCACCTCAAGGCGCTTTATACTGCAACTTAAAGACCCTTCAATAATAATATATATTAAAAAAATAATAACCTAATTTCAAGTCCTTGTGGGAAAAGGGAACCAGTGTAGCATTCCCGAAGACCAGAACCACCTCCATAATTTCTGTTGTCACTTCAATGCCGTCAGGGCTAATTTAATGAACGATGTGTCATTGAAAAGGCAAAGTACTAATCCAGCCTGTCAGATGGTGGCTAATGTCGTTAGGAAAGACACGGCACAGTCAGACCAGCCCTCCGATATGTCCGCAATCTAATCTGTCAGAACTAGTTAGAGTGGACGCTCCCTTCTGCAGCCCCAAAGCACGATCTACTCACTGCCCGCAGACACAGCTGTTAATGTGAAAACTCCCCAGACTCCAAACTTCACTCAAGTTTTGCTTGGCAGTCACAGCACAGTTTTAGGGCAGTTTTGATATCCATCTGCCTTAACTGCCTCTGTCATATAGGTGAAGGCAGAGGCCTCCATGCTAAAAATAAACTGACTGATCACACAAAAATAAATGCCACTGTTCTTGGAGGGGGGTAAAGAAGTGGCCTTAACAACAACCTGACATTTAACAGTGCAGTGATTTGTCTCACCTGTGCTGCTCATCTTCTTTGTGTGTTTTTGTATGGTGTCCATCTTTATTGGTGGGAAGAGGTAGAGACAAGACATCCACCCAGGTGAGAGGACCTGACTTGGATGATGTCCCAGTAGACCTCTGCTTTACCAGTTTGTCTAAAAAAAACCCCAAACAATGTGTGAGACATAATCGTTGTGTTACTCGTTTCCACACTAAAGCTCAAACTGCTTGCTAAGTAAAGGTTTTTAAATACGTCCTTTCTGTGTCCACAGCTGTTAGCGCCTCAAAGAATTTTCCTTTTACTGACCATTTTATATCTTCAAGGGCACCTTAAGCTTCTGTAGAATCACTGGATATCAAAAGGAATGAAGCACTTAACCTCCGCATACCTTTCCATTCACACAGTATGTTTCAAAGTTTCAGAGCATGGCAGGCTTATTCACAAAGCACCTTTCAATAAGGCAATTCAAAGCCCAGGATATTGGATATAAAAGGGCATTTAAGTACAGGGAGTGCAGAATTATTAGGCAAGTTGTATTTTTGAGGAATAATGTTATTATTGAACAACAACCATGTTCTCAATGAACCCAAAAAACTCATTAATATCAAAGCTGAATGTTTTTGGAAGTAGTTTTTAGTTTGTTTTTAGTTTTAGCTATTTTAGGGGGATATCTGTGTGTGCAGGTGACTATTACTGTGCATAATTATTAGGCAACTTAACAAAAAACAAATATATACCCATTTCAATTATTTATTTTTACCAGTGAAACCAATATAACATCTCCACATTCACAAATATACATTTCTGACATTCAAAAACAAAACAAAAACAAATCAGCGACCAATATAGCCACCTTTCTTTGCAAGGACACTCAAAAGCCTGCCATCCATGGATTCTGTCAGTGTTTTGATCTGTTCACCATCAACATTGCGTGCAGCAGCAACCACAGCCTCCCAGACACTGTTCAGAGAGGTGTACTGTTTTCCTCCTTGTAAATCTCACATTTGATGATGGACCACAGGTTCTCAATGGGGTTCAGATCAGGTGAACAAGGAGGCCATGTCATTAGTTTTTCTTCTTTTATACCCTTTCTTGCCAGCCACGCTGTGGAGTACTTGGACGCGTGTGATGGAGCATTGTCCTGCATGAAAATCATGTTTTTCTTGAAGGATGCAGACTTCTTCCTGTACCACTGCTTGAAGAAGGTGTCTTCCAGAAACTGGCAGTAGGACTGGGAGTTGAGCTTGACTCCATCCTCAACCCGAAAAGGCCCCACAAGCTCATCTTTGATGATACCAGCCCAAACCAGTACTCCACCTCCACCTTGCTGGCGTCTGAGTCGGACTGGAGCTCTCTGCCCTTTACCAATCCAGCCACGGGCCCATCCATCTGGCCCATCAAGACTCACTCTCATTTCATCAGTCCATAAAACCTTAGAAAAACCAGTCTTGAGATATTTCTTGGCCCAGTCTTGACGTTTCAGCTTGTGTGTCTTGTTCAGTGGTGGTCGTCTTTCAGCCTTTCTTACCTTGGCCATGTCTCTGAGTATTGCACACCTTGTGCTTTTGGGCACTCCAGTGATGTTGCAGCTCTGAAATATGGCCAAACTGGTGGCAAGTGGCATCTTGGCAGCTGCACGCTTGACTTTTCTCAGTTCATGGGCAGTTATTTTGCGCCTTGGTTTTTCCACACGCTTCTTGCGACCCTGTTGACTATTTTGAATGAAACGCTTGATTGTTCGATGATCACGCTTCAGAAGCTTTGCAATTTTGAGACTGCTGCATCCCTCTGCAAGATATCTCACTATTTTTGACTTTTCTGAGCCTGTCAAGTCCTTCTTTTGACCCATTTTGCCAAAGGAAAGGACGTTGCCTAATAATTATGCACACCTGATATAGGGTGTTGATGTCATTAGACCACACCCCTTCTCATTACAGAGATGCACATCACCTAATATGCTTAATTGGTAGTAGGCTTTCGAGCCTATACAGCTTGGAGTAGGACAACATGCATGAAGAGGATGATGTGGACAAAATACTCATTTGCCTAATAATTCTGCACTCCCTGTATATATCATATGTGAGTTAATGAAGCTGCCCAAGCTTTCACATGTGGGTGGAAGTATACGTGTTGTAGGTGGTTACAACACTTGCATATAAGAAAAGAGATGAAAACATTGCATTATGGCAGCCATATAAACTATCTATAAAACAAAGCACATTTTTGGCCAATGTCAAGCTACAGAAAAAAAAGGCAGCTCACTAATATTTCCTTTTTAAGGTTGCAGTGCTCTAATAAATGTAATTACACAAGCAACGTCTCAGATTGTTACACGTAATCACAAGTCTACACAGTTTTATGAAGTTAACTTATTACTATGGAACTGCAGTGCGTTCAGAAAATGAAAAAAGATGAATGCAGACCTTCCCGTGTAATCATGTCGTTCTATATCGTCCAAGAAAAGATCTCATTACTGTGCAATCTCGTAATTAAAACATCTTAAAAAGGTTAAGGTGGTTACAAATGATCCATTTTGAATAACAGAACAGGTGTTTTCTTTCCCGCAAAATTAAATGAATGTGTGATTTTCAAATGGTCATTAACCGTCTCAACAGATTTTCAAGAAGCATAATGATGCCATAACCACAACTACAGAAAATTATTTTTCTCATGACTGCGTATAAGAGCCAGACAGACAACCACATTTCCAGTTAAGCTGTTCAAAGATACATTTTTAGATCTTTTCCGCTTCCACAAAATTCTCACCGTTGCTCTTCTTGCTGTACTGAAGCTTGGCGTATTCAGATCCAGAGTGACCAGACTTTATGGTCCAATGATCCAGGTGCTGCTCCAGACCTCCAAACCCACTGTTTGACAGTATTGGGTTGCTGCTGTACGGGTCTGGACCCTGGTTGTAGGACGTGCTCGAGTAGGTGTCGTAGTACGCCAGGAGGTCGTCTTCAGCCGTTGTGTTGATGGTGCTGTAGATGGGACTGTCATTGGACGCCGCGCTGTGCTTCTCTGACTGGTTTGGGTAGTTTATGATCCCAACAGCTGCACAGCAAATGACTATGTTACATTAACAGGGACAATCTTTTATTCAGCACTCTAGCATTTCACATCAGAGAGCTCTTACTGTTGTAATATCTCTCTGAATCCAGTTTGCCAGAGCAGCAGTTGACCGAGTCTTTGCTGTTGTGAGTGAGGTTTGGAGTGGGCCAAGAGTCTGCCAGCCAGGGGTAGTTGCCCATATTTGATCCCAACAAGCCAGGCCTGGGAAGAAAGATGAGATTATATCAATACTGCTTCTATGAAACACACAGTGACACTAATCATCTGATGAATCAAATCATAACGTAGAGTTTACCCTCCATTAATGATTCCTGATCCCTCACTGTGAGCGAAGCCAACTGCAAGAGGAAAAAAGAGCAAAGTTATAAATTTGGAAAACAGCAAAGAAGATAAAGCTTTTGCTTTAAGCCCCTTTTTTCCCAAAGAGCCACTGAAAGATAAAGATGTTTTGGACCGAATTATCATGCTCCATAACCAAATAAACAGTTTATCCCACACGGGGGTTTAAGAAAGCAGATTTGAATTGATATTTTATGAGGGTGCACTGTTGACCTACATACACCAAGAGGAACACAGCAGATCTATATAGCGTATGCCTGCAATACATAAAAATGCAGATGTCATTTTTCTGCTGCTGTATCTGGAGTTAGGGATGGTTAAAATCCATTTTTAATTAAATAAAGAAATCCATACCATAAAGTGAAAGACATACATGCAACATTATGAAATATTAATGCGAAAATTAAATTGCATATTTGCTCCTAAGGCCTTGAGCCATTATTGAACAAATACATCTCAAAGTCAGACAAGAACTGAGAACTGATGTGCTGTGTGCTTCTGAGCCAAAGGGCATCAAGTAAAGTGTGCGCTGAGCTTTTTACATATGCTTCAGAGTGTCTCTTGAGGGTTTTTTTTTTCTTTTTTTCCCTTTGCTCCTGCCATGAAGACTACCCAGTGGGAATAAATATATTTTAATTAACTGAATATGCGATTAAAGTGCAGGCATCGCTTTGCAAAGTACAAACTAAAATTGAAAACATTCATCACTGCTCCAGATATCCCCGGAGGTCTATTAAGAACTTTGTCACTGTCATTGGATGAAAACAAAATCTGATGGTTTGCGTCTTTTTTTCTCTTTTATGTCTCCGTTACATAATGAGTCGTCTGTGACAGGGTTCATCAAATCATCTCGAGTCCTGTGACGATAACCTCTCCTGCTTTTTACTTTTTTTTTCTCTACCCAAAGCAGGTAAGTAAGTCATAGTTAATCCCCCCTGCCCCCCTCACCTGCTGGGGTGTATGCGAAGGATGTGGTATAGTGTCCCAGCTGCTTCCTCCTTCGGTGGCGACAGTATAGCCACCCGCTGAAGCCCATCAGCACCAACCACGCAGCCACACCCAGCCCAGCGATGAAGGCTGGCTGGCGGATGACGCTTGTGATCTGCTCTGCTATGCTGAGGTCATCGCCCTTAGTCACGGTCGTTGAAGTCTTCTCAAGCGGGGGAGCTGAAAGAGAAGCGATCCAGTTAATGGAGCCACATGATACACAGCCAAAGCAGAGAGCTGTCAGTCACTTCAGAGTAGAAAAAAAACAAGCTTTTTAAATGGTTTTGTTTCCTCACATATCATTCAGGTTGATTAAATAGTAAACTGAGTAAATTCTTCTTTTAATGGGCCAGCACAGTCGAGGGGATTAGGATCAAATTGGGGCATTAAAGCACTTGAAAACTGGTTAAACGTGAAGGAAGTTATATTGATTTTTACTTCCTGCCTGCACAGACACGCATTAGGAGATGTGCCGGAGACGCCCCAAAGGAACAACAGGTGGAAAGTTACAATTTACAAGCAGTTTATCTTAGCCATCTATAATAAGTCTGCCTTCTATAATCCAGTTTTGAGATCCTTTCCCAGATGCCTTAACGCCCACTCACATCCTGGGCCATCTGACCTCAGGAAATAGGGTGGGGCCAGGTTTCACAGTGGATTCACCCGAAACCTTGGCTGTCTGTGACCCACACCCGTTTTAACACCTTGACTCATGTGATTAGGTAGAGGATCAATAGGGGGTCCATGACCCTCTTGTCGGACACTCCCATAGGGCTTAAAATCTGTTGCTCTGGTGGAGAGTCCCAAGTTCACTACACATGGTTGCAATTATTTTGGGGTTGTAAATTATCTTTCCCTAGTTTGACTGTATCATAAAACTGTAACTTGTGTTGGTACAGATTAAACAAGACATAGAAGACATGCTAGTTTTTCCACCTTTGGTGTTTTTAGACTTTTTGATAAGCCAAGTTAGATCCAACAGAAGAAGTTAGAAGATCTCACCTAACTTTCATCAATAACTCAAATAGGTAAGTTTCCCATGTTTTCTGTAAAAGGGTTACAAGTAAAAGAAAAACATTTCAGGAAACACTGGAAGCAAAACATGTTCTTTGGAAGCAACACATCTTCTCTGACTATGTGACTAATATAGCCAAGTAAATTAAAAAGCAGAGCCACAGAGACACAAAACTAAACAAAATAAATGGCAAACTTATTATGCAATCACAACTACTGACTCAAATTCGTGACAAACACCCTGCAAAAGTTAGTGTTGGTGATGCACCAGCTTTAATCGTATTCATGCAGCGCAGTCAACTCTCCACATACACATTTTACATGTGGTAAAGTCAGCTTGCAGAGTGCGTCTTGGCATATTTCGGCGTGTGTAGTAACTGTAACAGTTTGACTGACTCACTGAGAAGCAGGCTGACAGGCGGACTCTGAGCGCCCACACCCAGGCTGGTGACAGCAGCCACCATCACGGTGTAACGGACTTCAGGCAGCAGGCCCGTCAGCAGGATGGACAGGACTGCTCCATCCATGGTTCGGTTTATTTGGTTCTCCTGCTCAACGCCGCTGCCCAGACACCAGACCTGAGTGACACCAAAGTTTAAGGTCCTCACAATTTAGGCAACTCGCACATGAAAGTTGCTCTACAATGGTACAAGACTACTATCCATAGGATATAAGCAACAGGTACAAGGAGTGCTTAGTATGTAAAATCTTCCCTTCCAAGACTTCGCACCACCTCTGCCATAATCCCCACACCTGTCCACATTCATCAACACTGAGTAAACCTTTTATTTATTCTAAATCTCCTGTAGAGCATTTGTGATGAAGACACTGGGAGTTACAATGAAAATGTGTCAGGTAATACCGTGCAATATTTTCTTACGTCAGCCTTTGAGGGCTTGAACAAAATATTGGGTGTATTTCTGAGAAATTGAAATATTTAAGGGGATTAAATATGATCCCTGCCTTTGGCTGATGATCCATCACACATTCAGAAGAATATGGATTCTCATGATCAGACTCATAACTGTCTACGTGTAGACACAAGACAGCGAGAGGGAATCAAAACAATAGTACTCCATGTTCTATTTTGATGTTTTTTTCCACGCTCTGCATAAGCAGCCTGATGATTAGTAATCAGTGTTGCGCTCATTCTAAGAGACAGATAATGAGAACTCTGTTTTTTTTCACAGAGCTAACAGATGACAGGGATGGTGACTGTTCAGCCGAGAATCTGATGACACAAAACCGAGCAGCATCGCAAGTACTGGCAACACATAAAAGGCAATGACTAATTACTAATTGTTCATTAAAATCTGTGTTTTTCACAAGCATCTAAACAACCAAACCTAGGAAACACTGAGTAATGCCTGCACACAGATGCAAATCGAAAGAACAATTTGCTTTACTGACGAGCTTAACAGCAGAAATAAACACCAGAGAAGAAGACAAACAGTAAAATGCGGCCTCACCTTGTACTCCCTAATTATGCCGCTCTGAATATTATGAGGCGGCGGCTCCCAGGACACGCTGATACTGGTGCTGTTGGTGAGCTGCACCACTGATACAGCCTGTGGAGGGGCACACAAAACTGCAAACAGAGATAAGAAAAAATGAGATGTTACTATAGTTATTAATACATACCAGAGCTGTGATAAGACTGTGTTTACAGGTCCATAATTCCTGCACAATTTCCTGCAAATAACAGATATAATTTATAGAAACTAGAAAAACCTGAAAGAAAATAATCCTTAATTACTTATTTATAAGCACTCTATATAAGAAAATGAAACAGTGTCTTTATTTTTCAAAATTAGGAGGTTATTTCAGAATTTTTGCTAAATTAATTAGAACTCATTCGTTCCTTTGTTGTCTGATAATCTAACTCCACTGGAAAAATACTGTTTTTAAAGGATTTCTTTGCCTCATCTAAAGCGCTTTAAACTGTGTAACTAATAAATCCCTCCACATTGATAAATGTGACTAAATATTATAAATAAAAAATAGTTCATAATAAATGAAAGAGCTTTAATCAGTTTTGGAAGGAAACATGTTATTTTCCTTTCTTGGCAGCAGTCCTTCACCTTGCTCAACAAAAGCTGGACACAAGCGGCTTGATCTAGAGATTATGATTAAAATCATACCTCTAAAGCTCCTAAACTAACATAATACTAACCACTTTTTATTAAACCTCTATCTATGAGTTTTTGAGTCCAGGCTAACTATTGTTATTTCCAAAGCTAAGCTGCTGGCTGTTGCTTCACATCGACTACAAAGAAACAAAACAGGATTTAACTGGTATCTCAAATTTGTTTAAACACATATGCTACTGTCCGGAAGCCATGAGCCATTCCTGATTTTTTCAACATTTCTGCTGGGAAAATGAAAAACAGGTGCAGCAACTGAGTAAAATATAAGACAGAAACAGAGTTTGTAAAATTGCATCAAGCCTGAAGTCAACATTTGGAATGAAGACCTTTATTCTTCAACACAGCCTGAACTCTGTTAGGCAAGATTTCTTTTAATTTCATTAAGTAGTCTTCTGATTTAATTTCCACACGATATTGATATGTAGATCAAAATCTGATGGTACTTCCATCCATGTTCATAATTCCATCAATTTTGACAAGATTCCCAACACCACTGGCTGAAATGCAGCCCCAAGTAATGACAGAGCCTCTACAGATTTCTGTCCTCATTAACCTCTTTCCTGACATCCTCTGTATGAACTGATGATTTGAACAAAAAAAAAAAAAGTAAATTTGGATTCTTTGCTCCATAAGATGTCTCCGCTGGTTTTCAGTCCTTGTGTAATTTGGCACAGCTCAGCCTTTTCTCATTTTTTCTCTTCCTTAAAAATGGCATTTTGACAGCCAACCTTCCACTGAGACCATTTGGGACGAGGCTTCAGCGATCAACTGAAGGTTGAGATGCATTTTCTGGGTCCTATGTCAGGTCTGGATATTTTTTTCAGTCTCATAAGGACATAGCTTTCAGATACTCTCCCTCTGATGTAGATCTGTATAGGTTTTTGCAACAGGCCGCTAATAACCAAGTGCATGGAAATACAGTAAAAAATTGGTTCTTTGCCAAGTTATGTGTCGATACATCGCTGGCTCATTCTTTGAGTTCAGTGCCTTTTTTATGCTTGAATGAGTCAATGAATAAGTGGCTTAATAAGCTCTGAACATGCTCAGGTACAAGGACTGGACTGAGTTAGAAAGCAGCTAATGTCCAAAGAAAAACTGTGAAAGACCTTGAGAAAGGATTATTAGTCAAGACCACTTAGAAAAAGTACAATAGAGTTTGGCTGCTGTGCAAACATAAAGAACTGTGGGGTGTCTTAAGACTTTTGCACAGTACTGTACTTGCTTACTACTAGTTAGCATTACTTGCTACTGATTAGGTTATTAATACACATTCCTTACCCTCCTCCGAGGTACGCAGGAGAACCATGAGGCTGTCATGCCCTTGTAACTCATTGAAGTAAGGCCGGATCTTGACCTCGTACTCGGTACCACTGTGCAGATCTGCTAAGATGGTACTGTAGTCAGACGTGGCCTCCACATCTTGGACCAGCCAGGAGCTGCCAATCGTTCGATAAAATATACGGTAACCCTGAACGTACCGTGACTGACGCGCAACCTAAAGAAGGTGGAAGACAAAAAGCACAAAAACATGGTCTCACATTTAAATCAGTTATCAAAAGCAGGGAAGCGTAACCAGCTGTTTCTCTACACGTTGATCTATTGGCGTCATATAATGCTGAGCAGAGTTTCTGAAGCTAATGTTTGGAGATTAGCCTGTCCTCCACACATTACAAGCTGACTTTGAAACCCATCAGTATTAATCTCACACTCCAAGAAATCTTGGCGCTCGTAGGAGACAGAACCATCGGCTTCTGCAGGTAGACAGACACCTCTCCCAGCTCTCTCTGCACCTGTCTGTGGTCCACTCCCTGTTCAGTCGGACTCCCATCTAAGACAGCAAAGAAATCTAATCAGTCCAGCCTGGCAACATGAAAACAAAACAGCTGAATAGCAGAAATTCAGCAAAAGCAGGGAACAACTTTTTGATGAAATTCAACATTGCTCCCGGCAGAAGAGCATCACACTGAGAAAGCAATTAGTTTTGAGACTGCACATGCAAAGCAAGTTTTATTTTTCCAAAGCATGTAGCACATTATCTCTGCCTCAGCTCTACATCCAGTATCTAAAATATACTGCCTCATGGAAACTGAAACCAAGACTGAACTGTGAAGAATCTAATGAAAACCACTACATCAAAAAAGGATTTTTTTGTCTTTCATCTTATGTAACTCACCCTGTGTCCTGACAGGCTCGGAGATCGGACTGGGGTCGCTGAGGCCGTACGAGTTGACTGCTCTGACGATAAAGAGATAAACGGTGTTGGGGAAGAGTCCGACAACAGTGTGCCTCTCCTGCTTCACATGGTCCGCTACGGTCTGCCAGGTACTGCCCACTGATTGGCTGCAAGACGGATAACGTCAAAGAAAACGACTATCTTAAAATTGAATTTCTTGTGATGAAGATCTGACTGTCAGAGTGAACGACTGAGATCAAAACAAGAGTGTGTGAACATGACTTAAAGGGTAGGTCAAGTCTTTATCGGGAGCGTGTTTGCTGCCTGAAAGAGTTCGGATAACTGCATGTAAAGTTGGCGCGAGGACTACAATAAACAGCTTCAAGAGATGCTTCTTTTCTCTCTCGTTATCTGTCGTGTTACCATGAGATAACAAGGTAATAGGCTTGATCACAGCTCTTCTGCTCATGCCCTAATTGCACAGACAGATGAAAGTAGAGCAGCCAGGAGAGATGTCAGGAGAGATCTGAATTTTGCATACTTAGGAAATACGGCAACTGCAGTTACGGTAGTCACCCTCATTAAGGGGTAAATACATTTTTTAATCTTGCGAGCATAAGAAAATGAAGTGTGATATCTCAAAGCAAGAATAGAAATTACCCGGAGAAAGAAAGCTATAAATATGAGCCATAGCTGTTTTTTTCTCTTCTTAATTAAATGGTAAATTATTTTGTCAGAAGAAAAAAAAATTACAAAAATGCAAAAAAAATAAGTTAAATCTCTTTTAAGCAGTTTCATATCTATTTTTTTAGATATACTTTAGATACACTTATTTTATTAAGTACACCTTTTCTTAAAAATATCCAATTAGCCAATCACAAAGCAGTAAGTAAAAGCTGTTCTGCATGGAGATAAGGTCGAGATGATGTGCTAAGGTTCAAGCCAAACAAGAGAATGAGGAAGAAAGGTGATATAAGTGACCTTAAATATCGTATGCTTGTTGGTGCCAGACGAGCTGGGATTACTATTGTTTTTCAGGGAATGGTCTGAAGAAGATAAAATATCTAGTAAGCGGCAGTTCTCTACGCGAAAATATCTTGCTGATGTCAGAGATCACAGGATAACAGCCAGGGTGCCAACACTAACTCAAATAAACACTTGTTACAAGTTACAACCATGCAGAAGTGCCTCTCTGAACATTGAAGCAGATTAGCTGCAGCAGCAGAAGACCACAGCAGGTTCCACTACTGCTAAAAAAACAGGAAATTAAAGTGGACAAAATGAGTAGATAAGTGTTGTCTGGGGCTCAGTTTCTCCTGCAACATTTGGATGGTAGAGACAGAATTTTACATAAACATCATGACAGGACTGATCATCCTGCCTTGTACTGTATCAATGGTTCAGGCTGCTGCTTGTGGCCCCTTAGTACCAACTGAACATTGTTTAAACACCACAGCCTGCCTGAGTACTGTCACTACCCAACAGGAGATTTATTCCGCAGTGACTGTGTGACGCTATCATGTCAACCAAAATCTCAGAGGAATGTTCCCAGCATCGGGTTCAATCTCTGCCATGAAGAATTAAGGCAGTTCTGAAGGCAACATGGGATCTTAAGTGCATTTCTTTACAGTGCTGCAGTGGTTAGCACTGATGGCTCACAGCAAAGCGGTTCTGTGTTTGAATCTGTGTGGTTTGCATGTGCTTACCCCAGCTTCCTCCCACAGTAAAATGACACACGTGTTAGGTTAATCGGTGAATAAAACTTGGCTGCAAGTATGGCTGTGAAGGGTTGTCTGTGTCTGTATTTTAATCCCATGATAGACTACCCAGGGAGTACCCCGACTATCACCCAATGACAGCTGGGACAGGCTCCAACCCCCCTCTCCCTGTGATATTTAAAATGGAAAACAGTGAATAATTTCTTCTAATCTCCTAAAAAGAAAACTAAAATAGAAAACTGACACCACAGTCTTAACGCAAATCAGTGCTAATCTTCTTCTGGCTGCAGCCCCATATTAAATGAACAGATATCAATCTTCTCGCTTGACGCTCAGCAGGCACGTGAACAAGAAATGTTTCAGCAGCCTCTGTTGAATGAGCAAACAAATTAAAGAAATCACCAGTCGCTTCTTGGATTCACGAGTTTCTGTTCATTGGAAGAAAAAAACCCCTCATAGCTGCTTCTCTCAGCTTGCTAACAAAGTTTTATTCCGTCTTTAATTGCAGCAGGTTATAATGATGACTACTGAATGAGCCCGGCGAGGATACAACAGCTTTATGCTGTGCAGGTACGGGCACTATCAAGCAGCATGAGTGCAGTTTAACATTTTCCTCAACTCCATGGAGGAGGAAATGGCGAGGCAATTACATCAAGCAGGTCACAGCTTTTTCTCCTTTCTTCTGTGCCTTTTTTCTCAACAAATGTTCTCCAGAGAAACAGTTTTGCCATTTAAGACTCGCATTTCTTTTTTTAAACCTTTTTTTGTGGTTTTGTTTTCAGTGAAAAAGGAAAATGTAACTGCTACATTTATGTAGTAAATACTCCATCTAGACTGCCTCCCTTTTAAAATCAAAAACATAACTCTTGCTATGTTTGGTATAAAAAGGCATACTGCAATCATAAAAGTGTTTCTTTCTTTGTTCCTTCTGATCCACAAAAACAAACAACTCATTGGAGTTGGAGCGTGTAGCACTGAATGGATTTTTATCAGCTCTGTGTGCAAGTGTGCCAGACTGAGCTTTCTGCCTGCACAGAAAGAAATATATGCGTGCTCGTGAGCGTGCATGTTTGTGTCTATACACTTTTTCTGTACCCCCCGTCCTGTTTCTATAATGAGTGAACTTCCAGCTCGGCTCACATCCCCTCCTGCCATTGCCCCAGGACAGGACAGAGCTGCCAAGCTGACCACTGCAGTAATTGTCTCCTCTTTCACTCTCCCTGTCTCGCTCAGGACTCTAGTTGGTTGTTAGGGCTGCTATGGCTCTCCTCGGAAAAGCCGCGGCTAAACACTGATGTGGTGGGTTTCACTTTGCAACGTGTGGTAACAGAAGTGTCTCTCCCTCAGGCAGAGATGAGTCATTTCCAAAGTCTAATGAGTCTAAATGAAGAAGACTTCATTATCTGGGAAGAGTCAGTCAGACAGTGAGACCTTTATCAAGGGTGGAAAGTTAAGTCGAGGCTGCCTGTTTAACTTTAAGTCAGGAAGACAGTATATTACGGTAATAAATAAATTAAGTAGATAAAATTCAAAAACCAAAATAATATGTGTTCTACTGCAGCTCCTTTCAGTTTGTCCTTGTTTGTGGGTCTCTCTGCCATTGAAGAGTTTCCCATTTCTCCATTTGAATTTGCCTGAATCTGAGCACAGAGTATAGCCCTGTGTCCATCACCTGTATTCATCCTGCTACTTTGGTCAGCAGTCACATCATCAATAAACATCAGTGATCCAGTTTCACTGTTAGCCATACACGCCCATGACATTGCCTCCACTATGTTTGACAGGTGATGTCACGCCGGATCGTGACCTGTTCTCTCTTTTGCAATTTTTTTCTTTTCCCCTCATTCTGGTTCATTTGAATTTCTTAGAAAGGTTTGTAGTCTTTTTAAATATTCAGTCTAACCTCTGGCTTGAACCTTGTTGTAAATTTTGTATTTCCATTCATGAAAGCGTCTTTTGGTTGTCAGCAATGATAAAGCTACCACATCGAAAGTGTTTGTAATTTGTTTTTGTTTTTTCTTAACCATGGAAATAATTCTGTCATCACTCATTTTAGCTGTCTTTAGTGATTTGTGACAGATGGATAGCAGCAAGTGTAAAAGGGAAGGTTAACAAGATGGTAATAAGACCGTCTATGATGTATGATTTGGAGACAGGAGGCCAAGCTGGAGGTGGCATAGTTGATTTTTCTTAGGCGTGACTGGGATGACAAGTGAGTACATCAGAGGGACAGCTCGGCTCACCTCAGCGGTTGGAAGACAAAGTTAGAGGGGCAATGCTCAGATGGTTTGGACATGTGCAGAGGGGAATAATGGATATATTTGACAAAGGATGTTGCATATGGAGCTATCATGCAGGAGGAAGAGGAAGACCACAAAGAAGATTTATGCATGCAGTAAAACGGACATGCAGAGCGCTGTTGGGGACAGGGAGGGAGATTATCTGCTGTGACAACCTCGAAAGGAAGCAGCCGTAAGAAAAAGAAGTGGATTTGGGCACTCCGAAAGTTTTTGCTGTCTCTAATTGGTTTATTTTGGGTGGGTGGGGGTGGGGTTCCATCCAGTAATAGCCTTAACTTGCACTAAAATCTCTTCAGGCCTCATAATCAAAATTACAGCCAAAATGTAGAAAATACAAATATAATTACACTTTTAATGAACTTCACATGACTTCATTTGCCACGAAGTAACAAGGGAACAGGCCTCACTTTGCCACAAAACTGCTCGTCAGTGCAGTTAATCGTGTGCCTCTGAAAATTGGGGACTCTATATATGAAAATGTCTGTAACTACTAAACAGTTTTTGTGAAACCTTTTGAATTAAAGCTGAAAGTCTGTATTTCTACCACTATAATCCATTATAGTGGAGTGCAGAGGCAAAGCTACCAGTATAAGGATTTAGAGCTTTAAAACACATTTCACCAGTTACACTTGTTAAAGCGTCTGGTAGCACCAGTAGTTTTTCATGGTCTTTCTTCATCTTCTATTAATGACATTCTGACTCAATATAGACCTGACCTCAGCAAGTCAACATGTGACCATTACTGGACAAAAAACCCCAACATCATCAAAAAGCATAAAAACCTTTCAGCAGTTTTTTTTTTCAAAGAGGACTGAGTGTGAAAAAGATTTCTGCCTTTCCTCTGATTTGAGGTTTTAGAAAATCTAACCCATGATGAGAGACTTTGGTCAGTCATGTTTCTTTTCAGACCAGATTTAGGGATGGGTACAAATAGAGACAATGTCTGTGAGACAAGAAGAAGAAGATCTGAGAGTGGAAATGGTTAAGCAGAGGAAATTCACCATTATTAAGGGTTTAAATCTATGTACAGCAAAGCAAAAAGTTATTAATAAGCTTTACTACTATAACACATTTTTAAAAAGCTTTGTCGTGTTTTACATTTGACCAGAGCTTTGTTTTTGCATTTAGTTTAATGTGGAGGGATTGATGGATGGATGGATGGATGGATGGATGGATGATGGATGGATGGATGATGGATGGATGGATAGTTAGCCTGTATTTGCTGTGATCTAGAAATTTCAGATAAACTGAGACAAGTCCACAAAAGACTGAAAAACTAAAGTATGCTCCTGTTTTGAAAACTCACCTGAAGGCTTCGATAATGTAGGAGGTGACAGCGGCCCCGCCTTCATGGGGATTGGATTGCCAGGTGAGGGTGACTGTGTTTTTGGTCACCTCTGTTATGACAGGCTTCTGTGGAGGTCCTGGAAGCTGGATGAACTCAGAAGCTCTGGACACTGAAGAACCTCCATCTTTCATTACAGAAACACACACACACAAAAAAAACATAATTACATCATATCAGTGGGCTAAGTTTGATTAACATTTTATCTCAAACTGTACTTTGTCTTGTGGAAGCTACAGATTGTGCTCCTATGAAGAACACTGGCAGACTAAGTAGTTTCTTGGGAAAGGAGGTGTAGTTGAGGAGTGACAGAGTGTGAAGTGTAACAGACAGAGAGACTGTGGCGAGTTTCAGTCTAAGTACCTCTGACAGTCAACATCCCACTCCAGCTCGACTCTCCTGTGGTGCTGGAAACCACGCACGTGTACATACCCGAGTCCGTGTCCTGTTAAACAGCAGTCAGCATTTGAGACAGACTTGAAAAAAAATGACACAATAAATGCGACAAACACTTTCACTTTTTCAGCAATTTCTGCTAATTTTCATTTTATGCTTCTACTCCACTAGACTTTTACGACATGTCAAAAAGCAGTTTTATACATAGAAGAAGTTCTATAAGGCATGAGCTAGCCATAGCATCCACCACAGCAGTAGTGAAGTAAATCAAAAATAAAGAAGCTAAGCCTGCAAGCTAGTTCAGGCAGCTTGAGTTGCACAGCTTTTCATACATCACACACCAAACTCATCCTCCCTTATTGGTTTGTTTAAGCTGTAAATGTAGCGTGTCACTGCTGCTACCCCGCATCATTACCTGCTCTTTCAACCCCTTCACCACCCCAACATCCACCTGTAAGCTCCAAGGGTGATTCATACTCATCTCTGCCCTGTTGCTACATGTAAATACTGCAGGGAGCGAGGAGCTTGCAGACAGCACGCTCTAACTGTTGCTACGGGCCTGCTGTGATTTTGACCTTGGCGCTGTGTCTTGTTCTTTCTTCAGTAGTTGATGCCACCCACTTTCGTGCAACTGACTCTACTCAGCTATTGAGCCAAAGTACTTAAGACCAGAGAGAAGAGAGCTCCAGTGCTAGAGAGGCTTTTTTGGTTCTGAAGCTCGTGAGCTGTTTGTGTTGTTGGTCATTAACCTTTTTAATTTGTGCTTTTGTTTAGTGACTCCTGGGCTTTGCTATGTTTCTCTTCTTTTGAGTTGGATAGCAGCTCGTCCATCTCTGTCTGTTTAATTATTAATCAAAAGCTTTACTTTCATATTTTGCCTTCATCTCTCTTTCATCAACACTTTTTTTTGTAACTTTACCTTTTTAGGGGAATGTAACATTATAATGAAGCTTATGTGTGAGTAATATCAGTGATCACTCATCTGCCTGCTTTCCTGGGTCTATTACATCACTTCCTCTTTCCCACAGTGTCAAATTCAATGCCAGCATCGCTATAGTCCATCTAGTCCAATCATTTTCTTGCATGTCTCTTAAGAGCCAATCATGTCTCTGTCAGCGTACTTTAAATCTCAGCGATCTTCTGTCACTCTGCCTTTCAGGCCCTTGCAGCCCACCTCCTCCTCCCCCATCTCTGCCTCACCCTGGTCACTCAGCGCCCCATCCACGCCTCCATCTTCATCTTCACCCTCAGCTATACTCTAGTGGAGTCCTATCATAATTCCTATCATTGTTCGGATAAACCATCCTGCTGTGATGGTTTATCAGAGTCTAATCGCCAAACAGCTTGTTAATCAAATTCTGTATCTTAATAAATCATGTTCATTTTTTTCCAAGTGACCTCTCTTTATCTAACTCATCACAGCTTAAAAGGAAAGACTTAAACAGTTTTAACTTTGATGCGATTTCGAATCTAATTTACCAAATTTGAGCCAGCAAAATCAAAAATTAATCAAAAGTAACATTCAGCCACTATAAATATATTTTTTCTCTTCATGAATAAAATGAATAAATGTAATTTTGCATTTTAAGCAATAAATAGCAATGTGCTTTCCTATAATTTTCTCCTTTTTGAAAAAAACAAACAAATTATTAGATTATTATGGTAATTATATTTTAGCAAAATGTCAATTTGTGTGTTCTGGCAGACTAACTATTACAGAAACATACAAAGAATGATTTTGATGGCATAAACCTTACACTGAATTTGCTAAACATTTTATGTCAGTAACAATTTTTACCTTGAATATTTAATTCATCAAGAGTTGATGTGCAACTTGAGTGTTATTGAGCAGTAAATATTTAGCCATCTCTCACTTGAGAAAGCATTAGTTCTTAATAGCTAATAAATCGAGAGTTTAAACAACTTTAGTTAATGTGTTGCTGTGTCTCTCTTTGGGGCCGCATCAAGACGAGCATCTGGCGGGAAAATCTGCCAAATCAAACATGCAGAACTACCCGCTGTGGCGACCCCTTACAAATGAGGGAGCAGCTGAAAGTAGCTTTAGCTTTAATTAGAACAACTTTAGCAATTAATAGTTTTGCATCACAACAAAATGATCATAAATAATGGCTACAGTGATTGTTATTGGTGTAATAGTGTTTATTTGCTTATGTGATGAAAATAGCAGTGATTAATTATATATTGCTTGTGCATTGGCTCAGTGCAGTATGCATCTGCCAACCAAGTTAAAGATCTGTGATCTGATTTTGGGTGGAGGCACAAATCCTTGTGGGGAAGGGCATCTGTCATTAGAATCCACCAAATCAAACATGCTGAGCTACCTGCTGTGATGACCCCTTGTGAATAAGGGAGCAGCCAAAAGAAGCATTATATGCTGTGTTGTGTCCAACATCAACTATTAAAAGACTGTGATTAAATTCTGATGACATCAGAATAACAAGATATCTTATGTAGGATGTATTTATTTAGGATTAATAGATGTTAGCAAGAGTTTTTACTGAGCAGTGTGATCACTGTAACTCCTACGATGTTAAATGCTGCCAGATAGTCAAAACCGCTGCAGTCTTTTTTCTTCTTTGGCTTCAGTCCTGCGATACAAGCAGAGAGCTTTTAACACAAACAGTTCCTAAGTCTGATCAAGAGGATGGTGCCTAAATCTGACCAAACAGCGAACAAAAACCAAAGTGATTGAAAGCTAAACTAAAGAATGAGCGAAAACCGCAGAAACCACGGTCTCCGGGACTTCCTGGGTGACCCCAACTGCCCACTTATATGCTCTTTCAGTTGATGCAATAATTTATTGCAAATGATAGTTGCCTGACTGAAATTTCATAATGATGTCCATTCGATGCTCTGTGAAGAGCAGTTTTATAATTATACACAGAATATTAATGTCCTTGAGAGGGCTGCTTCATTTAAACCCAGATAATTATTCTTTCATTGTTAATGCTGTATTTCTCACATAATGTGCTGTTTTTCTGCGAGGTGAGCTGACCCTCCGCTGGAAATCATTACAGCAATTGTGCTAGAGTCTAATTAGTACCAAAATATAAATGCAGATCTTTCTATCAGTTGTTTTGGACATTTTTGTGAGGAAACTATTAAGTGTCTCACTTCAGCCAGCAAAAGCATTTAAATAAGAAGCGAGCAGTAAACAACTCATACGTGTCGTTATATTAGCGATGACATTATAAACGCATACAACACGCTTCTCTGTGATGTCTGCAACCATCGGTTACGTAGCACATCAACGCTTATTTGGAGGTGTCTGCCATTTGGTGCATTTTCACTGACAACGAGTGGGAGATGCTGATGAGAGCAGTGAGACGCAACCAGCACAGTTAACACAGTGAAAGACACCCAAAAAAAGATTATCTTCAGAGTTGAGTGCAGCTGCAGAATAAGGTGATAATTTTAATAAATTTCAGCTCCGTCACAAGAGCCAGCCTTTCTCACAGCACGCACAGACATTTGAATTATTGTTAAGATAAAAATACGATAATGCCGCTGACAAATTTAAAATGCTAGACCTGCTTGCAACTGTTGTTCAGCTTTAAGCTCCTACGCTTCAATAAATTATTCAAAAGGCATATTTAAAGGTTTGCTACAAAAAAGCAAAAACACGTTTTAAAAAATATTTTAAAAAATGTAAAAATTGGCACTTATACCTTTAAGCTCCAGGTGAAACTGGACCCAATTAAGCAGCCATGTTTGTGCAATTAAATGCAAGCCACGCACACTCCATCCACATTAAGCAACTGTCACCGAGCGACACTACGCCCCACCCGACCTTCTTTTTATGTTATGAAGTGTACAGTATGTGCCTGCATGCTTCACTGATACGCTTGCTGTTCGCTCTGGCCGTGTCCTGGCTGAGAGCCAGTCTGCTGGAACTATCCTCAGACCGTATGAGATCATCCACCGCAGTGTTGACCTCTGGCTGACAGACCGCACAGCTTGTGGGCAGGTGAACTTCTTCAGATGACTCCAACTACAGCTAAAATATTGATGGTGGGTTGGGCAGCAGCAGGGCAAATATATTTAGTCCCTCACTCATCATCTCCGTGTCCCCATTTTTTCCCCCTTTGTCAACCCCTTGATGCCACACTAATGCATCTCTTCTGTTCCATTGAGCACATTGGCATGGCAGATTTCCCCTGCCTCAGCGGTGCACCGGACCAAACCTTAATGCTCCAAGTTAGCTGAGCACCACTGCTGAGAAAAAGGATGAAGGAGGACGTGAATAAGCACATTCCAGCCAGGAGATTTAATTAAAAGCCGGTTAGATGATGAATCATCTATCGCCAGTCAATTAATGTAAATGATGCTGCCTTTGCTCTGTCCTGCACAGGCTCGCTGACCTCCAGGTGGGGTTATTGCACAAAGGGGTTTCTGACTGCTCTTCCATCAAAGCAGAACACATTAGCATTTACAAACAAGCACCTTCATTAACATTACAATTACACACCGCATGAGCACATAATTACACTGGAGAGATACGCACCGCCTTAGAGAGATTGGTCTTTTTAACTCAGACTCACTTTAATTTTACAAACAGAAATGGAATTGCTGATGGAAATGAGGAAGAAATGGGTTACTATGAGGGCTGCGGGGAAGGTGACAGACGGTCAGAGATCACACAGGTATTTTATTCTCCACAGTTTTTTTTTATATATAATTTCCATCTTTCCGTGCACACTCCGTCTTTCCTTCCGCTCCTTCCATTTAAGAGCAACTGCCTTTCAGAAGTCGCTTGTTACGTGCCCTTTCCAACAAATGCCTCATCCGCACACACCCAAACACATACACACCTTTACGTCTGCGATTTGCAACGTGCCATTTTCCATCAAGGTCAGTCGAGGTGTATTTCCCTGAAGTCTCTCTCCGTCCTTCTCCCATGAAATCTCGACTGAGGTACCTCCATTTACACGGCAATAGAGCTGTGCCGTTGCACCCCGAGATACGGTCTGATTGGCTGGGCCTTGGCGAATGATTGGCGGGATACGACCTGAAGGACCTGCCAGTTTGAGTGAAGAAGAGGCGGAGTATTATGTTAGGGGTGATATCCTTGTTCCAATTAGATCACAGTGCAGAAAAGTCAAGACGGACAGATAACATTAGGAAGGCATATAAAAGGTCTGCAGGAAGGACGGCTTTATAAAGTCGCCAGGAGCTGGAGGGCAAAGGGTAAAAATACTTAAGATGCTTAGTAAGCAGAAAACAATAGGCTGTATAAGGAGTAAAAGAAAGCTTAAATCTGGTGCTTACAAGCTGCCTGTGGGAAAACATTAAGCCTTCAATTCATTGCTCATCCAGCATGGGGTCTCTAACTGCGCACCGTCTCTGTCTGCATGGGCCTCATTGTTGTGCACCTACTAAGTAATTAATATGTTTTCCCCTCATTAGCTGATGGTGCAGAACAAAGAATCAACCCCTCAGGTTTAAAAGTAACTGTACCTATTGAGGTCTTACCTCCCTCCACCTCCAGCAGTGCCTTGGTCAGAACACTTCCTGCTACACTGATGGCCTGGCAGATATAAAAGCCCGAGTCCTCAGGGTGGACATCTGTGATGGTCAGCTCTCCATTCATGGAAACAGAGTAACGACCAGACTGGGAAGGCGGCTGGCCGGGGAACAACAACATCTAAACAGAAAAATGCATGCAGCAAAAAGTAAATCAATGTTTTTATTGTCAAATCATTTACCTCAGCTATTTGAGTACGTTTATAGAAAAGGAAATAGGACTAGAACAATTTCAGTCGCAATTTCCTGCAGCTCAAATTGGCTGTTTGAAATGGCTGGTTGTGTCTAAGGAAAACTTTAATGTGGACCCAAATAAAACTGAAAAACAAAGCCAAAGCGTCATATTTAAAAGGCTATGTTCAGCCGCAATCACAAATTCCCAGAAATCCACTCATCAAAAGCATATGTTTTATTTTTAGATCAGTCTGTGGAAGCTTCATTCTTTCTCTTTGAGTCATGCACAAAAGCATGTACTGCAGTTCAGATTTTTCTTTTGCCAATGTTCTTCTCATACACTCCAGGACAACCTCACTAACATTGCCAAAAAAGTTTAAAAAAAACCCACACACACTGATATCCCACTCCTCACCCTGTGCACCACATTCAGGCTTGGACACATCAGGACTTATATCGCTCCACGTTTTAGATTTTGGAGAACTCTAAAAATAGCAGCACATTTGAAAGTGTCCCAGAGGTGCTGATGGAGGTGACCTTGAAGTGGAGCACTGGCCACATTTAAGTCAGGTAAGATTTAAGAGCTTCACCTTCCCATGGTCACCAAGTGTTTGCTCATAGGGGGGGGTCATCGGATTGTTGGTGTTTTCTCTGTATTATTATAAGTCCTTTTTTTTTAAATTTATGATCCCACCTTAAAAGAATAACTCATGGACTCAAGTCCCTGAAAAATATTACAGATATTCATGTGCAGCTCCAGATTAGTTATTATTATTTGGTGATCCTGTAACTTCTCATGCAACACCACCATAAGATCAAAATGAAATTTGTCGCCGTGCCTAATGAATAAAAACCTGCAAAGCTAATGACATTCCCATCAGACTCAGCTCTGCTTGTACTTTTACTGCTAATTAGTACGTCTTCCATTAATTACATCCTCCCAGAGATGAGCTGTGGATCCTTACTTTTAGTTGATGAATTGTGTAAAGAATTAATAAATCATTAAAGTAAAACTGTTGTCAAATTAGTTTTGACACATTATTTTACATGTTTTCACCCGAATCCGGGGCTCAAACTATTAACTTCTAATGATAATCTCACATTTGAAAAAAGAAAAAACCCTGAAAGACTCTGGTTGTTGTGTTGTTTTTTGGGGGGGGATGATGCCTGTGAAACTGACATTTTATAGCTATCCCATCTTGTTTTCCTGTAAGTGAGATAGATGGGAACAAGGGGGAGGGATGCATCAATCCATTCAGCCATCCATTTCATTCCTCTAAGAGGCTTAGACTCCAGTGGAGGGACCGAGGTTATAAGGCTACAGATAATCCCACATATACAGCAAAAAGCCCTACAAACAGCCAAGCAAGGCATCAACCTATCCTGCCGACTGAAGCTTATTCACAAAATCAGTAGCTCAACTTCCTGTTTGCTCTGTGGAACCTTTCTGAAAACACCTGAAGCTTCTCCTCCACTCCTGAGTCAGTGAACCCAGCTGCCATTAAGCAACATGGCATTTGTGGTCAGGAATAATGTGGAAGGAGGGCAGCATTCGTCTGCAATCCTGGCCTGAAGAAGCAATTTCCACACCTGGTGTGCTTCCTGGAAGCCCTCTTTCAGTCTCTTCTACTTTCTCTTCCCTCTCCTGTCGACTCCCCCAAAGCCAGAGTGGCACGCAAACAGGAGAAAGATTTCTCGCCAACGCAATGTCTTCCAACACTTTGTCTCTGCGCATATCTCTGAGCCAAATGCAAATGTGCTGCATTATCTCGCTCGCCTCTCGCTTATTTCGCCTGGAAAAATGTGTCTTGATCAGTGTGGGCAACTCTAAAAAAGAGGTGTCAGAAAAAGTAAGATTAAATCAGACAAAAAAACCTGCTCACATTGTGGTGAGTCGTTCTCGCCTTTTAAACAAAGAAGGTGTGAAACTCTTGACTATTGATGTGATAAAGAATACTTGAAGTAAAGTTTACAAAGAATGCGCCAAGTGCTCATGAAGAGCAAGCCCGGGCTTGTTAGGGGAGCAAATGTATTTATATTCACTCATTTGGTGTCCTGGATGTCTCTGTTGCTGCAGTATTTAGCATTAGAGAGCGCCTTGTGCTTTGCTCCAGCCTCTTACCTGGCTGCCCTCTTTCTGCCAGAAGATGGCAGGTGGAGGGTTTCCCGTGGTGCCACATTGGAAGGTGATGCTCCTCCCCTGGGTGGCAATCTGGTCTCGGGGCTTTGTAGCAATCTGAGGTGGTACTGGAAGAGAAGGAGGAGTGTGACCACCCATTAAAAGTCATACTTGTGCATGAAATGGCCTGCTTTATGAACGCTCCCTTTTTGCTGAAAAGCCAACCCAATTTTCTCCTCTATAATTTATCAGTGGGAAAGTGTTCATTTAATTTGAATGGGAAGGAACCATTCTGAATCCAATATGGCAAACCATTTTAAAGACGCCAACACTATAGCAACGATATTTCTTTACTTCCCCCTTTTCCTTAGGAATGCAAACACAGCAAAATGGTAGTTTCTTACTCTTTGTGCCATCCATAAGGGCGCATACTTGCTGATTCGCTGTATTCGGCACATTATTTTCACAGCAGCAAACAAACTGCTTCTAAGCAGTTGTAGCTGCTTGAACCAGTTTTAAATATATATTCGATTTGGAAGCCAGGATGAGAAACTGCCAAAGAGGAACTCTCTGAAGACCTAAGTTGCTTAATGAAGCAGGAAGGAAGCAAACAGTTGCCAAGTAAATGTAGTGAAGTAAAATAAAGTAATATAATAAAGTGGATCTATAAAACGTAATGATATTGAAATACTGAACGTCTCTCGGTTTAGTTATTTTCCAAAACCGCTGTTAACCCCGAGCTGGATCGATAAAGCGCTCGTTAGCTGTTAACGAGTGAGATTTAAGAGTCTTTTCTTTGACCTTCTGAGTTTTTTGATCTGTTGCTACATACTCATCATCATCGCCCTCTCGTCCTTAATGAGAAAAATCACCTCCATGTCCTCTTAAAGAGAAAAAATGGGGGGCGGGGATGAAAGAAAATCATGGCAGCAAAAGCCAGCGTCATTCTGATGACATTTACTGAGTTATTTTGGGAAAGGTCTGAGAAGAGCTGCCAATTTCCAGCTTGGGTCAGATCACCATGTTATCCACATCATCACATCCTCTGTAGATTTACACTGACCACTGCATTCTGCCCCCGCCTGAATAATTGGCTCTCACTTCCCACCAAATGGGAAGCTTCTCTAGCCTGGATGCATCCTCTCTACAAATCTCTGCATAGTGCATATGGTGCATATGTAGCTGCACACACAAACACACACACACACACACACTTGTATTAGGGCGCACAAATGCATATTTGGCTCAATACACAAGACAACTGAGTCATCTGTGTCGTGTCTTAATATTCTCACCGAGAGCATTTTCCCAGCCGCAGAACATCTTTTATCATTATAGTGTTGTGATGATCTTTCTGTGAAGTTTTTTTTCTCTTTCTTCAGATGTTATAATGTCTTTCAGCAGATCTGATGTGTTAGTCACATATAGCACAAGATTGCTCTTATTTATTTCATATTCACTTTGGCGCTACTTGTGGCTGTTTTTTATCATGGAGTCTTAAAGTGACTCTAAACCATTTTAAAGACTTTATGTAGATTTTGATTAAGATTTGCAATGTATATCATTTTAATTCTGTAAGTCCTGTTTTAGTTAGAAGTCTAGCAGCTGGTGCAAAGTAGTCCGTCTGGGAGAAAGGATATTGGGAATATGAGCTCTTGGCTTTATGTCCCAATTAGAGATTTAACTGTGTGTTACTGTTGTCTAGCTGAATCATGATAGTTCAACTGGTTTAAATCTATTTTTAAATCTCCAGCACTGTGTTGCCAGCCAGCTTGTTGGTGCAAAAATTCTATTTTATGCCTGTCAGTCTTTGCTATCTTTGCCATTTTTCCTAAATTCACATAAAGACATGACAAGACGTAATGTGTTTTTGCAGCAGGTTGCAAGCAGCAAAGTGCCTAAAGATACTATTTAAAATCGGTTCTTCAAAATCTCTGTGCAGACATGTTGTTGGTTTCCTTGAGTTTGATGTCTTTTTCTGCACTTAAATGATTCATAGGTCAGTGTTAAGGTGCTTCTTTCTTGGTCAGTTCCAAGGACTGGGCTGAAAATGATTGAAAAATCAACCAGTGTCCAAAGAAAACCCTTGAATGACCTTCAGAAAGCCTGGAGAACTGATGCACAAGACCACTTTCAAAATATTACAGGAAAATCTGGCTCTTTCAAAGCTAAATATAAAGACATGAAGGGTACCTTTTGCAAGTACTGTGTGTCCTTTACTGGGGTTTTATAAAGCAGAAATAAGAAGGTGAGTTTGATCTGGACCTGATTTATTGAGAAAATAAGCCCAATGATGTCGTATTGATGCCATCAGTCTTATCTTGACTAAAGGCCAAAATTAGAAGCTTACACAAAAAAACAAATTCATAAAAAAGTTGGAATTTGAGGAGTATTATGGGAAATGTAGGCAACACTGTTTTTGAAACTTGACCCAAATTAGGCGCTTGACAAAAGCACAATAAATATCAAGGTAATTGTGATCTTGATGGTCAAAAGCTTGATGCATCTCCACCAAACATATTGCTAGTACTAAGTCTAATGATAGAATATTAGTTTAAGTGCTCTGTAATAATGGATGAGGTCAAATACGTTGTTATTTCAGCCTCAGTTTAGTTATAATTAAAAGCCTTTCAGCTGCATTTTGAACTCCTCCAGCTGCAAAAGAGAGAAGGATTTAGAAATTATGGTGCTACACTCTTCTCAACACAGCAGATGTGTGTTTGATAGGAGTCCTTAATCTGCTGTACATTAAGTCACTGTGTCTGGGGCTTACTTAATGCCTGACTGCAGCAACAGGCATGTTGTCAACATGTCAGTACCTAATGGAGGAACTCATTTACACCATTAGGCATTTATAGTTGCTTTTAAAAACCATTAAGAACGTCATACAGAAAATATTTTTTTCTAGACAAATGAGCAACATAAATGCCCTTCTGTGGAGAAGAATTAGATGGAAAGTGAACTCACAGAGCCGGCCGACCGGAATGATGATAGAGTTTGAAACGGAGAGAGATGGAGAATTAATGAGATGGATGAAACGCTGAGCAACTAAACGGAAAGTATAGCATGTAAAAGCACAAAGAAACAAAACAGAAAAGTGTGAACAGAAAACCGCTTGGTTCGGATTTCATTTACACTGAAAAAGGCATTAGCGGATGAAGTCGTCTGAGACTATTTAAACCAAGACACCGAGTGAGTGAAAAGGACGAGGAGGGAGGAGGGAGATAAAGAGACAGGAAGAGAGGAGGTGGGGGAGTCATGTCTTATTAATATTGAGACTGCTCTCTGGCAGTGAGTTAACCCACACATCTACCAAACATCTGTCAAATGGCGTAATCCATACGGTTTAGCATAAGCTCCTGGCAGCACCGCTGGACAGGGACTGATATAACACAGTGAGCGTTGGACATCAAGTGGGAACAGGCTTTGCATGATGCAGCTGCCATGTGACTCTACCTTATACGTGAAAATGGCCCTGAATTGAGAGCTTTTTTATGCATGTCTAAGTGTGTGAGTGTGTATATGTGTGTGTGTGAGTTTGTATACAATATGCATGATGTGCTTCTCACCGTGCACCTGCAGCATGGCTGAAGCCTCCGTCTTGCCCACACTGTTCTCTGATGTGCAGGTATACGTCCCTTCATCCTGCTCTTTCACGCGGAACAAACGGAGGTTGTTGCCGTTGCGGATTTCAAACCTGTGAATAAAAAGCGAGTTAATGAAAGATCTGGCGGATGCATAGCAAAATAAATAAATAAGTAACCATAATAATCTCCACAAAGTGAAAAATTCTGCCAGTGGTTTGGGGTAATGGAATTTCTTGTCCTTAGAAGGATTTCTTTGCTATCAGGTGGCATTATCTTGAAACCGGTGGAACAATGTGTCTTATCTGCTTTAGATATTGTCACAGGCTCCAGGAAAATGACTGAAACTGATGAAAATCAATTAGAAAGAAATGAGATTACCTCAACACATCGAAGGATTTTTCACTTGGTTTTGTACGGGCAGTAGATTAAATATAAAGACAGAGCAGAATTATTTATATTATGTAAGTGTAACTCTCTTTGTCTACGCAAGGCGTACAATTACTGAAACACAAAGAGTAAAATCTGCTTAAATTCCATTTATTTCATGGATCAGTGAGCAACCAAAGGAAGACATGAAATGGAAAAAGATGAAAGACAGAAAGGCTCTTTGCAAACATGAAACAACAATCTTCATCATCCTGTTGCCAAGTGGACAAATAAACTCTTACACCGCAGTCACCGTGACTTTGCTTTTTGTGCAGGTTTTGCCAAAATTGTTCAGGACATACATTTAAGCATTTGGTCTCCCATTAATGGATAATACAGTATATGGACACGTTTAATGAGACGTATATGAGTAGCATTTTAAAATGTCTCTATAAAGACTCTTACACCAGGCTTATGTAGGGATCACCAAGTTTAAAGTAAGACTTCCCAATTGACAGAAAAATCACAGACTTGTCATGCTTAATATGAATATTTATTCATTTATGAAATATTACCGACTATCACATTTTGCTACAATCCCCAGTGTGTGCAGGTCATGTTCAATATAAGAATATAATAATTAATAAATCAAGGGCCATATGTTTGACACAGTTTTGTGAAACTGTTGGAAAATAGTCAAAGCCAGTTAGCTTTCCCCCATTTCCAGTAACACATCCCTTTAGTGGCTACTATCACAAGCTTCAAATTAAGCTGTAATCTGTAAAAGACTCTAACAGCAGCAGCCAGTGTGGAGCAGGACTGCATTAACTCACTAAATTGAAAATAAGTAAGTAAAATTATATCTACATAAAATGTGAAAATTCTTTATGTGAAGTTCATATCTCTGCTGTTTAAGTCATTAAGCTGTTAAGTTTCAAAATAATAGAATTATTTATCAGTTTTGGCTAAAAATGATTATTATAGCGCCATTACCATAAGAAAGCATGAAACTTCTCTCCATAAAATTCTTTCAGTCTTTTCATTTTTTATGAAGTTTTGAAACAAGATGTGACTAAAGTACAGACTTTCATCACTAATTCAAGGCGTTTAACACAAACTGATCAAGAATTAAAACTGGTTTTTACACAAAATCCACTTTTTTCAGAGGCTCAGAATTAATGTGACAAACTAAAGTCTAGATTTCATGGTCACCGCCAAACGCTGTGTTTCCTCCCTTAAGATGCTCTGCCAGGCCTTTCCTGCAGCCGCCTACACTCGCTGCTTGTTTGTGGGTCTTTCTGCCTTTGTTTCTGTCTTCAGTAACTGAAAAGCACGCTGTGTTGGATTGGGATCACATGGCTGACTTAGCCATTGAACATTATCCCATTTCTTTGGCTTGAGAACCTCTTGGGCTGTTTTTGCAGTATGCTTTAGACTAGTATTCATTTGTACTGTGAAGTGCGGCCCAACCAGTTTTGCAGCATTTGGCTGAATCTGAGCAGAAAGTATATCTCTGTACACGTAAGAATTCATCCTGCTACTTCTAGCAGCGCTCACATCATCAGTAAACATTAGTGATGTTTCCACTGGCAGGTATACGGGCCTATGCCTTAACACTGCCTCCACCATGTTTGACAGATGATGTGGTACGCTGGATCAGACCGCCAAAGTATGCTTCTTCATACTTTTCTCGTCCGGTCATTCTGATACATCTCGGCTTCATCTGTCCAAAGAATTTTTTCAGAGTCTAATCTGGCCTTGCTGCTCTTCCTGTTGAGTGTAACCAGTGGTTTATTGTTCTCTGTATTTCCATTCACAAAGGCATCTCATTGCAAACTTGACATGGACAGTCTACCTTTTGATTTAGTTGGATTTTCAGGGAAGTAATTTTTCAGTTCCATCTGCGGTCTTTCAGTCCATTTAGTATTTCTAAGGTGGCCAGTTTTTTTTTAAAGAATGTAGCAGAATGTTGATCTGGCCACTGCTAAAGTTTTTGCTGTCTCTTTTATTCTGATTTATTTTGTTTTTTTAAACTTTGCCTTCCTTCACTTGGATACACATCTCTTTGGCTCTCATGTTGATAGATCCAGTGAAAAGATACCAAATGCAATATCATTACTTGGAATCAATTCCAGGACTTTTAACTGCTTAATTTTTGATGGTATAACAACAGAGCCGGCCTCATGTGGCCATGGAAATGCTTGTCAGTAAATGATCCAGCCTCTGAAAATTGGAGAAGTTTTAATTCCTAAACACTTAATTCAGTACTTTTGTCAATCCTGTTGAATCAAAGCTGAAAACCTGCAGTTCAATCACAGCTTGATAGTTTGATTTAAAAGCCACTGTGGTGGTGTGCAGATATAGTTACAAAAATTGCAATTGTCCAAATAGTCATGTATTTAGTCTAGATAGATAGATAGATAGATAGATAGATAGATAGATAGATAGATAGATAGATAGATAGATAGATAGATAGATAGATAGATAGATAGATA